TGTTTTGTGACCCAAATGTGCTTGGTGATCCTGGAGTACTTGTTGACTCAAGTGTGTTTTGTGACCCAAATGTGCTTGGTGATCCTGGAGTACTTGTTGACTCAAGTGTGTTTTGTGACCCAAATGTGCTTGGTGATCCTGGAGTACTTGTTGACTCAAGTGTGTTTTGTGACCCAAATGTGCTTGGTGATCCTGGAGTACTTGTTGACTCAAGTGTGTTTTGTGACCCAAATGTGCTTGGTGATCCTGGAGTACTTGTTGACTCAAGTGTGTTTTGTGACCCAAATGTGCTTGGTGATCCTGGAGTACTTGTTGACTCAAGTGTGTTTTGTGACCCAAATGTGCTTGGTGATCCTGGAGTACTTGTTGACTCAAGTGTGTTTTGTGACCCAAATGTGCTTGGTGATCCTGGAGTACTTGTTGACTCAAGTGTGTTTTGTGACCCAAATGTGCTTGGTGATCCTGGAGTACTTGTTGACTCAAGTGTGTTTTGTGACCCAAATGTGCTTGGTGATCCTGGAGTACTTGTTGACTCAAGTGTGTTTTGTGACCCAAATGTGCTTGGTGATCCTGGAGTACTTGTTGACTCAAGTGTGTTTTGTGACCCAAATGTGCTTGGTGATCCTGGAGTACTTGTTGACTCAAGTGTGTTGTGTGATCCAAATGTGCTTGGTGATCCTGGAGTACTTGTTGACTCAAGTGTGTTTTGTGACCCAAATGTGCTTGGTGATCCTGGAGTACTTGTTGACTCAAGTGTGTTTTGGGACCCAAATGTGCTTGGTGATCCTGGAGTACTTGTTGACTCAAGTGTGTTTTGTGACCCAAATGTGCTTGGTGATCCTGGAGTACTTGTTGACTTAAGTGTGTTTTGTGACCCAAATGTGCTTGGTGATTCTGGAGTACTTGTTGACTCAAGTGTGTTGTGTGATCCAAATGTGCTTGTTGATTCTGGAGTACTTGTTGACTCAAGTGTGTTTTGTGACCCAAATGTGCTTGGTGATCCTGGAGTACTTGTTGACTCAAGTGTGTTTTGTGACCCAAATGTGCTTGGTGATCCTGGACTACTTGTTGACTCAAGTGTGTTGTGTGATCCAATTGTGCTTGTTGAGTCTGGAGTACTCGTTGACTCAAGTGTGTTTTGTGACCCAAATGTGCTTGGTGATCCTGGAGTACTTGTTGACTCAAGTGTGTTTTGTGACACATGTGTGCTTTGTGATCCTGGAGTACTTGTTGACTCAAGTGTGTTTTGTGACCCAAATGTGCTTGGTGATCCTGGAGTACTTGTTGACTCAAGTGTGTTTTGTGACCCAAATGTGCTTGGTGATCCTGGAGTACTTGTTGACTCAAGTGTGTTTTGTGACCCAAATGTGCTTGGTGATCCTGGAGTACTTGTTGACTCAAGTGTGTTTTGTGACCCAAATGTGCTTGGTGATCCTGGAGTACTTGTTGACTCAAGTGTGTTTTGTGACCCAAATGTGCTTGGTGATCCTGGAGTACTTGTTGACTCAAGTGTGTTTTGTGACCCAAATGTGCTTGGTGATCCTGGAGTACTTGTTGACTCAAGTGTGTTTTGTGACCCAAATGTGCTTGGTGATCCTGGAGTACTTGTTGACTCAAGTGTGTTTTGTGACCCAAATGTGCTTGGTGATCCTGGAGTACTTGTTGACTCAAGTGTGTTTTGTGACCCAAATGTGCTTGGTGATCCTGGAGTACTTGTTGACTCAAGTGTGTTTTGTGACCCAAATGTGCTTGGTGATCCTGGAGTACTTGTTGACTCAAGTGTGTTTTGTGACCCAAATGTGCTTGGTGATCCTGGAGTACTTGTTGACTCAAGTGTGTTTTGTGACCCAAATGTGCTTGGTGATCCTGGAGTACTTGTTGACTCAAGTGTGTTTTGTGACCCAAATGTGCTTGGTGATCCTGGAGTACTTGTTGACTCAAGTGTGTTTTGTGACCCAAATGTGCTTGGTGATCCTGGAGTACTTGTTGACTCAAGTGTGTTTTGTGACCCAAATGTGCTTGGTGATCCTGGAGTACTTGTTGACTCAAGTGTGTTTTGTGACCCAAATGTGCTTGGTGATCCTGGAGTACTTGTTGACTCAAGTGTGTTTTGTGACCCAAATGTGCTTGGTGATCCTGGAGTACTTGTTGACTCAAGTGTGTTTTGTGACCCAAATGTGCTTGGTGATCCTGGAGTACTTGTTGACTCAAGTGTGTTTTGTGACCCAAATGTGCTTGGTGATCCTGGAGTACTTGTTGACTCAAGTGTGTTTTGTGACCCAAATGTGCTTGGTGATCCTGGAGCACTTGTTGACTCAAGTGTATTTTGTGACACACGTGTGCTTGGTGATCCTGGAGTACTTGTTGACTCAAGTGTGTTTTGTGACCCAAATGTGCTTGGTGATCCTGGAGTACTTGTTGACTCAAGTGTGTTTTGTGACCCAAATGTGCTTTGTGATCCTGGAGTACTTGTTGAATCAAGTGTGTTTTGTGAAACAAATGTGCTTGATGATCCTGGAGTACTTGTTGACTCAAGTGTGTTTTGTGACCCAAATGTGCTTGGTGATCCTGGAGTATTTGTTGACTCAAGTGTGTTTTGTGACCCTAATGTGCTTGGTGATCCTGGAGTACTTGTTGACTCAAGTGTGTTTTGTGACCCAAATGTGCTTGGTGATCCTGGAGTACTTGTTGACTCAAATGTGTTTTGTGACCTAAATGTGCTTGGTGATCCTGGAGTACTTGTTGACTCAAGTGTGTTGTGTGATCCAAATGTGCTTGGTGATCCTGGAGTACTTGTTGACTCAAGTGTGTTTTGTGACCCAAATGTGCTTGGTGATCCTGGAGTACTTGTTGACTCAAGTGTGTTTTGTGACCCAAATGTGCTTGGTGATCCTGGAGTACTTGTTGACTCAAGTGTGTTTTGTGACCCAAATGTGCTTGGTGATCCTGGAGTACTTGTTGACTCAAGTGTGTTGTGTGATCCAATTGTGCCTGTTGATTCTGGAGTACTTGTTGACTCAAGTGTGTTGTGTGATCCAAATGTGCTTGGTGATCCTGGAGTACTTGTTGACTCAAGTGTGTTTTGTGACCCAAATGTGCTTGGTGATCCTGGAGTACTTGTTGACTCAAGTGTGTTGTGTGATCCAAATGTGCTTGGTGATCCTGGACTACTTGTTGACTCAAGTGTGTTGTGTGATCCAATTGTGCCTGTTGAGTCTGGAGTACTTGTTGACTCAAGTGTGTTTTGTGACCTAAATGTGCTTGGTGATCCTGGAGTACTTGTTGACTCAAGTGTGTTTTGTGACCCAAATGTGCTTGGTGATCCTGGAGCACTTGTTGACTCAAGTGTATTTTGTGACACACGTGTGCTTGGTGATCCTGGAGTACTTGTTGACTCAAGTGTGTTTTGTGACCCAAATGTGCTTGGTGATCCTGGAGTACTTGTTGACTCAAGTGTGTTTTGTGACCCAAATGTGCTTGGTGATCCTGGAGTACTTGTTGACTCAAGTGTGTTTTGTGACCCAAATGTGCTTGGTGATCCTGGAGTACTTGTTGACTCAAGTGTGTTTTGTGACCCAAATGTGCTTGGTGATCCTGGAGTACTTGTTGACTCAAGTGTGTTTTGTGACCCAAATGTGCTTGGTGATCCTGGAGTACTTGTTGACTCAAGTGTGTTTTGTGACCCAAATGTGCTTGGTGATCCTGGAGTACTTGTTGACTCAAGTGTGTTTTGTGACCCAAATGTGCTTGGTGATCCTGGAGTACTTGTTGACTCAAGTGTGTTTTGTGACCCAAATGTGCTTGGTGATCCTGGAGTACTTGTTGACTCAAGTGTGTTTTGTGACCCAAATGTGCTTGGTGATCCTGGAGTACTTGTTGACTCAAGTGTGTTTTGTGACCCAAATGTGCTTGGTGATCCTGGAGTACTTGTTGACTCAAGTGTGTTTTGTGACCCAAATGTGCTTGGTGATCCTGGAGTACTTGTTGACTCAAGTGTGTTTTGTGACCCAAATGTGCTTGGTGATCCTGGAGTACTTGTTGACTCAAGTGTGTTTTGTGACCCAAATGTGCTTGGTGATCCTGGAGTACTTGTTGACTCAAGTGTGTTTTGTGACCCAAATGTGCTTGGTGATCCTGGAGTACTTGTTGACTCAAGTGTGTTTTGTGACCCAAATGTGCTTGGTGATCCTGGAGTACTTGTTGACTCAAGTGTGTTTTGTGACCCAAATGTGCTTGGTGATCCTGGAGTACTTGTTGACTCAAGTGTGTTTTGTGACCCAAATGTGCTTGGTGATCCTGGAGTACTTGTTGACTCAAGTGTGTTTTGTGACCCAAATGTGCTTGGTGATCCTGGAGCACTTGTTGACTCAAGTGTATTTTGTGACACACGTGTGCTTGGTGATCCTGGAGTACTTGTTGACTCAAGTGTGTTTTGTGACCCAAATGTGCTTGGTGATCCTGGAGTACTTGTTGACTCACGTGTGTTTTGTGACCCAAATGTGCTTTGTGATCCTGGAGTACTTGTTGAATCAAGTGTGTTTTGTGAAACAAATGTGCTTGGTGATCCTGGAGTACTTGTTGACTCAAGTGTGTTTTGTGACCCAAATGTGCTTGGTGATCCTGGAGTACTTGTTGACTCAAGTGTGTTTTGTGACCCTAATGTGCTTGGTGATCCTGGAGTACTTGTTGACTCAAGTGTGTTTTGTGACCCAAATGTGCTTGGTGATCCTGGAGTACTTGTTGACTCAAATGTGTTTTGTGACCTAAATGTGCTTGGTGATCCTGGAGTACTTGTTGACTCAAGTGTGTTTTGTGACCCAAATGTGCTTGGTGATCCTGGAGTACTTGTTGACTCAAGTGTGTTTTGTGACCCAAATGTGCTTGGTGATCCTGGAGTACTTGTTGACTCAAGTGTGTTTTGTGACCCAAATGTGCTTGGTGATCCTGGAGTACTTGTTGACTCAAGTGTGTTTTGTGACCCAAATGTGCTTGGTGATCCTGGAGTACTTGTTGACTCAAGTGTGTTTTGTGACCCAAATGTGCTTGGTGATCCTGGAGTACTTGTTGACTCAAGTGTGTTTTGTGACCCAAATGTGCTTGGTGATCCTGGAGTACTTGTTGACTCAAGTGTGTTTTGTGACCCAAATGTGCTTGGTGATCCTGGAGTACTTGTTGACTCAAGTGTGTTTTGTGACCCAAATGTGCTTGGTGATCCTGGAGTACTTGTTGACTCAAGTGTGTTTTGTGACCCAAATGTGCTTGGTGATCCTGGAGTACTTGTTGACTCAAGTGTGTTTTGTGACCCAAATGTGCTTGGTGATCCTGGAGTACTTGTTGACTCAAGTGTGTTTTGTGACCCAAATGTGCTTGGTGATCCTGGAGTACTTGTTGACTCAAGTGTGTTTTGTGACCCAAATGTGCTTGGTGATCCTGGAGTACTTGTTGACTCAAGTGTGTTTTGTGACCCAAATGTGCTTGGTGATCCTGGAGTACTTGTTGACTCAAGTGTGTTTTGTGACCCAAATGTGCTTGGTGATCCTGGAGTACTTGTTGACTCAAGTGTGTTTTGTGACCCAAATGTGCTTGGTGATCCTGGAGTACTTGTTGACTCAAGTGTGTTTTGTGACCCAAATGTGCTTGGTGATCCTGGAGTACTTGTTGACTCAAGTGTGTTTTGTGACCCAAATGTGCTTGGTGATCCTGGAGTACTTGTTGACTCAAGTGTGTTTTGTGACCCAAATGTGCTTGGTGATCCTGGAGCACTTGTTGACTCAAGTGTATTTTGTGACACACGTGTGCTTGGTGATCCTGGAGTACTTGTTGACTCAAGTGTGTTTTGTGACCCAAATGTGCTTGGTGATCCTGGAGTACTTGTTGACTCACGTGTGTTGTGTGATCCAAATGTGCTTGGTGATCCTGGAGTACTTGTTGACTCAAGTGTGTTTTGTGACCAAAATGTGCTTGGTGATTCTGGAATTCTTGGTAACTCTGGTGTGCTTTGTGATCCTGGGGTACTTGGTGAAGGTGTTACTATTGTGCTTGTTGTTATGGTAGGTGTTTTGGCTATATTTAAAAACAGATAGACATATATGTTTATGTTTTCTTATTGTTTATGCGATATCTTTGGTATTTTTAGTTTTATTGATGAGTTCAAATGAAAAATTGTTATAGTTTAATCTGTAAAGGTTTAAGGATTTTAAAATAAATTTGCATACATTTTGATGATATATTTTTAAAAAACTTAATATGTCGTAAAGATCATGTGCTTTATCCTTTTTGAGATTTTAAAAGGAAATTTCATGAAAGTTTTTTAACTTTAAATAAATAATCATTTTAAAGAGTAGTTCAAAAGAAAAATTTGTTATATTGTAATGTGTAAGGGTTAAAGGATTTTTAAGTAAGTTTGCAAAAGTATTGATTAATTAAAATAAAAAATGAAATTTCATGAAATTTTTTTATCTCTAAATAAATAATCATCTTAAAGAATAGTTCAGAAAGATATATTTTTTTTTTCGGATAGCATTTTCTGATATAAAACAAAAATAGCTAAAGATTTGAGAAGAGAAAAAAAATATGCAAATGATGCATATTCTATACTTTTTAACAATGTAATTTTTAAAAAAGATTGTAACTAATTTTAATTTGCTATGTTAGTATAAGACAAAGAGAAATAAAGTTGATTCTAATCAATTGTTTTATCTGTAAAGAATTTTGAAAGAAGGAATACAAAATATTGTTACAAAATGTACTGCAGGTTTGCCAAAAAATGTGATAAAATCGACTTATTGTCAGAAGCATAAAAACTGGTGCTGACAATAAGCTGTTGAGATACATGGAGAGTGGTCGGGGAGCGGGGGGGGGGGGGAAGAAGGGAGAGACAGACTGAACATTTTTTCTCATTATTTAATAATTTTCATACAACTCTCATTTGACAAAAAAATAAATAAACTCAATTAAAAAACCCTTTGTAGGGGGGGGGGGGGGGGGGGGGGGGGGGGGAAGAAGAGAGAGACAGACTGAACATTTTTTCTCATTATTTAATAATTTTCATACAACTCTCATTTGACAAAACAATACATTAACTCAATTAAAGAACCCTTTGTTATGAGATATTCTCTCTTTTTCGGGGTCACCCTGTAGTCTTTTTATTTTAACATATAATCTATCTTTATTTTAAGTGAGCAATAAATGTGAAAAGCTAAATTTTATTGAATTAGTATTGCCTTTTCTGTTAAGTTTAATTATAGCTAATACTTTGAGTAGAGGTTCTAAATGGTTTCCTATGGGGTCCCTGGCTAATAACAGTAAACTTAAAAACTTAATGATTGCCAATAAACCTTTTGTTATTCAGTTTCTTAAGATTTTGTCCACAAAAAACATTTACTTCTATACCTCTATGAGAGTGGATTAATTTAAAACTAACAAAAGAAACATAGTAAGTGTTGAAAATGACATGAGGATGGCATTAAGAAAATAAAACCTTAAATTTTGAAGCTTGTCAACAGTAAAATTTCCAAAATTGCATTAACTATTTTTCAAAGGTAAAAATTAAAGTGCATTACATTATGAAAAAATCTATTTTTGATTAGTTTTCTTTTCACCTATTTACAAGAGTTAAAAATATTTTGTGGGGTCACTTGTCCCTTTGTTTCTATAATGTTAGGTCAAAAATTTAAAAATAGGTTGGGGATCTGTGATTTAGAAAGTGAGATACTGATTTGTTTACAGCACATATTGACACCCTACATCATTGATGGGCAGGGACTGATTTCGGCTTTGTGCCATTTATGTACACACATTACTAATACTCGTTTAGTTTAAGCAATTAATCTATAAGGTTTTACATTAACCTCTGTTTTTCAATGTTTACATCTTTTGTGATTATTTATTACATGGCATGTTGTTGGAAATAAGTTTAGTTTAATAGTTAAGCTCTTTTATTTAGCTCTAGAAAAAAAAGACATTAAAAACTTACAGCAGTCTCTTGGAGGACAAGGAGATGAGCACAAATCTGAGTAGTTGTTCAAACATTCTCCATTGCAATATCCAAGTGTGCACTTTTTAACTAGATTAAAAAAAAACAACTTATGTTGAACTTCCCATTTATTGTACTGGTATTAAAAAGAGATAATTTATTTTGTATCAAGTATTCAAATTGAAACAGCAAAGAAAGAGTTGTGTCAGTTGAGACATTAAACCTTCCCATGAAAACAATAGCGTTGCTTTAGATTGCAAATGATTTTAGCTAAAAAATGTCAAAAATAGTTATAATACCGAGATGTCAGTAAAATACATTTTTCAAAAAATATAAAAATTCCTATCTATAAAACTAAACAAGCTCAATTATCAATAAAGTTTTTGTTTGTGGTTTGCATTCCATAATGAATAAAGGAGATCTCTTAGATTTAAATTGTGTCAAAGTCACTTTAGTCTCTGCAATTTATTTTGTCACTTTTTAAGTTTATCATCATATACCTTTGATGCATCCTTCAGTACTAAGATATTCTACTGTTGCTTTGCTGTTAACCTTTTCATCAACATCAAACAGAAATTTAATGCTTTCAATGTCTGTTTGGTCTACAGGCTCATACTTGAAAATACTGCCTTGTAGATTAACCTTTAAAAAAATTAATGAAGAATAAGCTAAAAAAGCTTTAAAATTGCTACTGTTTGAAATAATTATATTATGGAAGACATATGCATTTCATATTATTTATGTGTATCAATCACTCAGGGCTATACAATTAGAAATTTTTTATTTCTTATAGCTTTTGCTTTAAAAATAAATTATTCCAATCAAATGGGATAATTAAAAATAATAAGTTTATCAATAATTGTGAAAATTGAGACTTAGCAATTGTGAAATGTACCTCATCTGAAATAGTTCTGCCATTATTATACAGGATTTCAATGAAAACTTTCAAAACTCCATAGACTTTTTGTAACACATTTGTTATCCTAATATCTTCCACTTGATTACTCTTGACTTTTACATCAACTGCAATGTGACTTGGTTCTGAAGTTGGTCTAAAAACACTGTCAACCCTCTGAGGCAAGCCAAAATATGCAGCTGTCAGTTCAGTGGAGCCTTCCGAACATGTCACTTCTGTAAAAAATGAGTTATAGGACATACACGAAATAAGAAAACCCAAAAGAAGATGTAACTAAAAAAAAAGAAACATGTCACAAAAAGCCATCCTCAACCAACAAAGACAGTAGGCCTACAAAATGAATGAATAGGAGCTTTTAAACAACATTCAATTTTTTTGTTTTGTTTAATTTCAGATTTACCCCTATTAAGTTTTACTATTACTATTACTAGATCTGAATGCAGTCTGTCTCCCCCACCCCCTCCAGCTTATAATAAAAGAAAAACAATACAAAGGGTAGCAAAGAAAAGAATCTCATATGAATGGATGGATTCACTTTCAATAAAATATTCCCATACGGTACTTTATAAGTGCTTCAGGAAGTATAGTTATAGCTTAAAAGTACTTGAATTATTAAAAATCAAACATATAATTACATTGAACCCTTAAATTTTATGCATAATAACATATTAATTACTTTCTGGGGTAGTAGTTTCATATGGTGTTGTGGTTTCTTCTAAAACAAATAGTGTAGAATTCAATCAATCATTCAATTAATTATAATTTGAACACAATTAGTGTCTATGGAAATAGTATTCCATTATATTAATTCATAATTAACATATACAATGATTAAGGTGGTCATGCTTGATTTTGACTGATGAACTTTATTATATNTATATAAATATATTTAGATAGAAGTGTAAAAATATGATGTCTTATACTTTAGTTTAAAGAAAAACATTGAAAATGCTTTAAATTCCATCAGGAAGGTTTCATTGCATGATATTAAAAGCTTCAGGATATATTTAGGAAATTTTCATTCAATCTTCTGTCAGGTGTATTTTATGTCTACCCAACATTTAAAGCATTATTATTTTTATTTACCCTTAATACACAATATTATTCTTGAATGTTAAGCTAAATCTCTTTTCTGATGCTGTATGGCCACCCTAATTCCTCAGTGTTAATATTGCATGTCTACACAAAATCCTTAATTTTATTATTCTATCTAAACTCCTAAGTCTTATTATTGTATTTCTACCATTAATTCTCAGATTTATTTAATGGATATCTATCCCAATTTTTCAGTCTAACAATAGTATATCTATTATGTTTACTAAAAAGCCTATGTTTACTAAAAAGCCTATCACACCATGTGTAAAATGACATTTTCCTTCCACAAAAAGTAATTTTAATAACAAGAATAAAGATAGTTAAAAAGGAAGAGAAACAAATTTAAATACAAAATGATTCTCTTTATTATTCTTTATCTAATCCTCATAATGCCCAGGAGTAGGAAAAAATGAGGGTTAAAATTATTTTGGGCCCCTGATGCGAAATAAAAAATTATTTGATGGGAAAGTATCAGTATTGGATATTTAAAAAGTAAATATTTTTTATTTCTTTTTACTTATTTCCATTTTTAACACGTCATAATTCAGTTGGTGTAAGAGTTTGGAATTAAGTATAAGTGCCTAACTCCCACATCTATCACTTGTGTTAAACCCCCTGAAATGAAATTGTATGTGAAGGTGATTTTTTAAACATCCATTTAGGCTGAAAGGAATCTTGACATATTTCGCTCAAATATTTTTTTTTGACAATCTATTAAAAAAAGTCATATAATTTTTTTTTTTTTTAAATTGCTCCTCAATCAAAAATGTTGCAGATGACTGATTCAGACAAAAAGGAAAAGAACTTGTATGTGTTTTAAAAAAATTGCAAAAAAACCCCCACATAAATGAAAGAAATACAAGAAATTTGTTGGCACGTTTTATAATTATCCATTTAAAATACAGTCAGTCCCATAGGTTTTTAACTTACCTACAGGCCCATAGCAAATATCCAAAATCATGTCAGAAATGGTTGCATTTGTCGTAAGTTGGATTACACTAAACTTGCTATTGTACACTCCATTGTATTGGTAAGGATCCTCTGTAATTTTGCGTTGCTGCATAAAAAAACCCCCACAACAATCACTGCAATACTCAAGCAAAGAAAAGCAAATTCTGTAGCATTCCTTTTTAAAAAAAAAATCCTTTCTAACTATTTAAGCCGACTTTTCTATTTGTACATATTCTTACATTTAACACAAATACATATGGATGACTTAATTTTATATAAAACCACTGATTGTAAGCCAATAACATTTTTCTTTGCTCACCTCAACTAAAGAATAACCGTCTTCTAGTGTTAGTGTTAGTGTAACTGTTGACCCTTTTCCTCCTTTGACTGTAAAAAAAATTTCCACGAGTACTGCATCAACACTATTTGCAATCCTAATTTGGATATCTCCATACCCACTATCAGGAGTCCAACCTCCATTTGAAAATACATTGTTTCCAAAACCAGAGGTAGTCTTTGTGGAGAGACCATTTTCTGCCTGGGTAAATGTTTTGAGAGTGTGCTGGCATTCTTTGGAGAGAAGTATATATAAATGATTTGTTGGATCTAATTTAATATTTAGCATTATGGTATAGTTTTATTTAAAGTACAGTATAAAAAATAGCTAGAAGCATTTTAAACATTAATGTTCATAAAAAAAAATTAACAAGGAACTGGAGCTTTTTTAATTTGAATTAAAGATATTTTGTTAGTCGCTCAAAAATTAACTCAAGAAGTAAAATAGACTTATTCAATATATTTTTGTAATTGTTTAAATATCATTCAATTTTTTTCTCATTTTTAGATTTTTGATTGACAGTGATAATGAAAGAGTTATTTATTTTGAGATTCAATTTTAATCTAAAAATGCATATGATTTTAAATTTGTTTTATCTTTTTACACCAAGGCAAATCACATTGGAGAAAGGATTCAAAGTCTGTGTAAAGAGTTTTTAATTTGATCATAGTTTTGACAATTTCATGACACCTAAGTAATCTTTATCAATGTGTAGTTTGTCTTAAAAGCAATTTTAAAGCATATGAGATTTTCTCTGTTAAGAAACTGAAAATGAAAAGTAAATTACCTTCAGGTGTTGTCGTTGTAGGAACGGCTAAAAAAAAAAGTAGAAAAAATATTTGTTAACAAATCTTAAATAGTTAAAGGAAGGTCTTGCCCATCCAATCTATTAACATAGACGGTCATCTATCCTGCATAGAACTAGTGTCATGTTGTTATTAACATTTTCAAACTTTTAAAGCATTTTTATATTAAAAATTGTTTAAAACATTACTCTAAAAAAAGAAATCATTTAATTTTTGTATCAGTCAAGAAGATATCATATATATATATATATATATATAAATATAAAAGTGAATGTTTGTGGCGCTGTTTGTTCCACAAAGACTTTTTCATGGATTGATGGATCTTGACCAAACTTGGAACATATATCCATCATGATCCAGAAGGAACTCTTAAGGGGTTATGAAGTTTTTATAACATTCCGTTTGGGCCTGGGGGGCCCCGTATTCATTTTTTCCCCCTTTTTTGAGCTATATACCGTATATACTCGCATATCAGCCTCCATCGCATATAAGCCGACCCCCTAAAACTGCTTTAAAATGGCCAGTTTTTGCAAAAAACCTGCATATAAACCGACCATACAATTGTCTAATTTTACTCCATATTTTTGGTTCATAGAAATTTGGTACTGTAAAGATGTAACATGCTTACTTCTATGTTACATACCAGTTTGTTTACCTTTTGGAATGACACAAAAACGTGTTCTGCTCTTTAAACAGTTTCCCCTCTTCGTGCCTATGCATGTGATTTAAGGGGATTCCCTTACCACCGCCTTCGTTTGAGCGTGTTATTTCTAAGAAATCAGACCGTGTACCGATGACGCCGGCTTCACCGCTAGCTCTAGCTTGGTTACGGCTCGCCACTGGTGCACACACAACCACGCGGTCGTGTCAATCTCACTTTATTCTATGCATTTGCGTATAGAGAATTAGTTAGGAAACCATAGATATAGGAAACATTTTCTTTTTTTAAAAATATTTGTTCTTAATTTTATGCCATTTTTGACTTCAAAAATGAATTCTCCATGGTAATATTCATATTATCAGCTATGCATACATTAAATTCTTTGAAGTGACACCTCTGTATATATAGGCCTATATATTAATACCGGTACTCTGTACACACAACCAAATAAAGAGTCAGATAGCGATGAAAATGTGTGGCTGGAAAATTGGTGTTAGTGTCTGTCCTTGTGTTCATTTTGTTTTATGAACATATAAGCCGACCCCTTGATTTCAGTATTGTATTTTATAGTTCTAAATTCGGCTTATATGCGAGTATATACGGTAAATAAGATTCACAACTACTCCTACATAAGTAGATGGATCTTGACCAAACTTAATACACTTACACTTTATTATCTATGTTAAACTACCGAAGTGTATTGACCTCATAATATCCATTTCCCTGGGGGCAGGAGCCCAGTTTAATTATTTCGTATATAAGCCATTTAAATATTAATAGGCTTAGTAGCCTACTTCTACATGAATAGATGGATCTTGGCCAAACTTACTACAATATACTTGATTACCCATATTCAAATACCGAAGGATACTGAACTCATAATATCCATTCTTATGGGGCCGGGGGCCCCATTTCATTTTTCCTTATTTAAGCTATATAAATATCAATAAGCTTTATGTGAAGTGATGGATCTATTCCTAGCTTGGTAGCACCACCCTTCATTGTCTGTATGGAAATATCGTTGGATTTAAAACTAATAATATCCAATCCATGCAGGGCCGATCTAGAAATTTCTAGAAAGTTCCATAATTTTAAAATGCTCTAACAATAGTATTTTTTATCCTATTTTAATGGGACAAATTTTAAATCTATAATTTATCTGAATGATTTTTATAGGGCTCCCACCCCATCTCAGACATATCTTAAACGGTACTTTATTAAATGGGCCCCCCGGGGCCCTCATTTTATTTTAAATGTACTATAGTCATAGTAGTTTAATTAAGTTGTATAATAATTTGCATTCGAGAAATAATTATGTAGAACAGTAATTTTTTACACGTTTCATGGAAGATATTAAATTTAATCTAGAATTTCCAGAAGGTTCTTTATTGTTCTACGGGGATATATAATGGGATCTAAAAGCTTATTTGAACAAAATTGCACTGAGCCTGATCTCATAGAGGAACAGGATCAAAATGGGAACGAGATCCAACATTAAACTGAAACCCATCGGTTACGCGATCTCAGCGGAAAACGCAATCAAATAGGGATCGGGATCCTATCGGGAAAAGGGTCAACATTAGAAAAGTACCTAGGTAGAACGGGGTCCCACAGAGAACTGTATCTTAACGGGATTGGTAGGCCATCGGGATCCACCGAGATCCGGATCTCTCTGGGATCAAGACACCAACAGGATCAAGATTCCACCAGGATCTGGATTACCCCTGGATCCGGAGCCACTAGAAAACGGAATACTACCGGGAAGGGATCACCCCGGGAAAAGGGATTGCGCCAGGATCGTGGTCAGAAAGGGATTGGGGTCCCATAGGGATTAGGGTGTTACCAGGATCGGGGTCCTAATGCAATCCCGCGCAACGCCGGGTTATTGACTAGTATAAATATATTTTAATGATATTTACACATTATTGAGGATATAATTTAATGTAGGATATTTATAAAACCACCCAGCAGGTATAAAAAGACAAATAAATAATGTGAAATTAGTCAACTCAAAACCAAGGGCAAAGAATTCATAAGTGTAACAAAATTTAAGAAATGTCACAATAGTACAGAATAATAAGCTTTGAAATGAGCACATGAAATTTTTTGGCAGGTATATTCAGTTAATATGTGCAAATAATTTTGAGGGAAAACTAAGTTAAATTTAATTTATTTATTAAATTAGTTTAAAAACCAAACAACAGCAAATGGTTAATCATAATTTGGAAAAAAAGAAAACCAAAAAAAACAATATTTAATTATAATAGCTTTAGATTTATTAATATTCATATTATTTTAACTAGAGATTGAACCTTTATAGAAAAAATTTGACAGAAAATGTAATGCCGTAGCAGGACTTGTAACTAATTTCTTTAATAATTTATGAAATAAAACTTACTGCATCCAATCTCATCAGAGCCATCTCCGCAGTCATCATTACCATCACAAGTAAAGTTTTTAGGTATGCAGTGTGAGATATTACAATGTGTTTCATTTTGTGGACAAACTGTAACAGTATTCATTTTGTCAACTTTTAAAATTTATTATCAATTAAAATATCAAATTTTTCTAAGCTTAAGCTAGTACTGAATGTTTTGATAACTATTTTTCATTCTTTTTGTAAAAAAAATATAATATTTTAAGTTAGAGAATGCTGATAAATAATCTTTGTAAGTAAAACCATCACTTGAGATTGCAGATTAAAAATATTTTACCTCTTGAATGAAAAAATAGGTTAAATATAAAGAGACATTTTATACCTGTACAATCAGCTTCATCTTCACCATACCAACAATCAATTTGTTTATCACAAAGGAATTCTCGAGGAATGCAATACATGCTCTTAGACTTAGAACACTTGTACTCTTCTTCAGTGCATTCAATGTCTAAGTAAAAATATATAATATGTACATTTCTCCCTTCTTTATATATATATATATATATATATATGACTGTTAGTCTATTTATCAATTTCTAGATTTATCCATCTATCTATATCCGTGATTCTCCTTGGAGGGCACTGGAATGATCGGGGGGGGGGGGGGGTCGTAGCCATGGGTCCATATGGGAGAATGTATTTAAAAATTCTGCTGAGAAAAAAAGATCCAAGGATTGATACATTGAGAGCACCAGGTTCATCCTTCTCAATAGGATTATTTTTAATGTTATACATACATTTAATTTTTATATAATCTTTCATTAAATTAATTTTCCGTGTTTGTAATAAATAATTTTATATGTTTAATCTTCAAAGTGTCTTATTTACAAAATTTTTCTTTGTAATATTTTAGGACATATGTAGAAATATAGATACAAATATCTTTCTGTTTGTTCACCTAAGTAATGAATATTTCAGGGGGCCATTTGTATTTTTTTTCTAAAGAGGGGATGGTAAGCCAAATAAGTTTGGGAGCCTCTGATCTATATTTATATGACCCATATTAAGCATTTAATTAATATATAATAATATATCAATAAAATAAATAGCATACCACATTTTTCTTCATCACTGTTGTCCACACAGTCCATCTTCTGGTCACAGACTGTTGTATTCCCAACACATTGACCAATTCGGCACAAGAAGCCCTCACAGATTTCCCCTACAATGTAAGAAATGGGCTATTGAAAGTGAAATAACTATTTTTCAAACATTTTTTTATTTCAGTCATATTAGCAATCCAAAAGTGCTTTAAAATTGTGGATCAAATAGTTAGTACGGTATTTTAAAAAGTCTGAAAGAATACAAGGGAGATAACTATATTACCTAATGACATACCTTAAAAAAAGATTTAAAATAAATGCGCATAATAAGCTAAAGTACGCAACATTTCTTCATCTTCTTGAACATTGAAGGGTAACTTCATCAAATTCATTTAGGATAGTAAAATAGCCCTAGCACATCCCAACGTGTGACAAAGATGAAACCATATTTACAGCTAAAAAGATTGTTGGCAAAAGCTATTAAAAAGCATGTAAACAAAGTTCTATAGACAACAAATTAAAGAAAAAATTAAAGTTCACTAGTTAAACGTCCCAGTATTTGGATCTTAGACCAGTCATTTGAAGTCATTTGTTCTGTGTCTTTGAACTGAGCTATATCCATCGAACTTTGTATATCTATTTCAAGTCTAATTTTTCCCTTAATCAACATTAATATTTATTTATGTTTGATTTTTGATAGTGTATCAGTTTAATAAATATTTCAGTCATTAATTTTCTTAAAGATTCCTCTAAGTTAATTCCACCTAAGTTACCCACTAATGAAATATTACAGATACAGGCAGCAATTTGATGAATCACTGATATAACTAACCTTCACAACTTTGTTCATCACCACCATCCTTGCAGTCATATTGTCCATTACATTTCAACTGGATGGCGATACAACGTCCATCATTGCACAGATATTGATCTTCATTACATTCTGTTTTGCATGTTTCACCTGTGCACTCCAACTCCCCATCCCGACATTCACTAAATAAAGAATGCAATATACTTAGAAACAATGTGTCACCTTAATTAAAAGTTTTAATCATAGATTTAAAATAATTTAAAAAATATTCATATTATGTTAAGGAAAAGCAGTTATTTTTAAATTTATAATATATGCATTCTTTATATATTTTAAAATTATCCAATTTTTAAAAATATATATATTTTATAAACTTGTTGATTATTGAAAAGCTTACCATTCTTGGCAGTTAATTGTTACCACCTGCCCTTTAAAAATTTCCCGTCCCTTAGCGTCAACACATGGACAGTCTGATTTCGGAATACATTCGGAGTCCTCCATACTTTCCAAATCTGAAAAATTAAAAGAATAAAAAGGCCTTAAATAATTCAACATAAAAGAGTTAACCACACCAGAATATATATATGTGTGTGTGTGTATGTGTGTGTGACTTATGAACTAAAAATTAACATTAACAGCATACAATATATTTAAAAAATCTTTGAACATCTTTAATAATAATAAAAATGTAGCACACAATATAATTTTAGTATCTTTTAATTCTTGTTTAGAAATTTTTTAGAGAAAAAATATATACCAATTTAATTTTACTCAGAAGCAATTTTATTATGCTTCATACTAACCCTTACTAGCAGCACAATTTTACAACATAACTATCATTAGCCAATTGGTGGTTGTTATAGTTTGGCTAAGTAAACATGGATCACATGACGTAACCCATGAATTGAGAGAAAAGAAATTAATTAGTATAAAAATATATATTTTATTTAAAAAACTATATTATTGGGTCTGTTTTAATTAACCCTGCTTAACTTACTGAAATCGAGTTTAGAAACAATAAACATGATCTTGGAACAAACCCCAATTGATAAACGTGGGCGGCAACTATGTAAAAGCTACTCTGTTTTACACAAATTTGAACGTAACTCATAGTAGTCAAGTATCTACACATTACTTAGGTTTAGTTTTGTAAAACAATGCAATAAAGTGCCCATTTTCTGAAAGCTAATTTTCCAAAATGTCGATTATCCAAACCATTCCTGTTTTAGAATCATGTTTATCACTTGCAATGTGCATGGTATCATATTATATTTTGTAATAGAAATTTAAAAATAAAAACAAAAATAGTAACTTCTTGTTGTTAACACACAGTTTCCAAAGTCTCCATTCCCACAATAAAATAACTCCAATAAAATGCAGAGTCTTTTTGGGGGGTTTTCCTCTTTTCCTCCAAAATGCCTCCCAAACACCCAGGTGTTGTAGTTACCCCAATTTAGGGTTGTTTCGGACTAAAGTTAATAATTCATTTTGTGAACTTATTGGGACTAGGATTGTTTCGGACTAAAGTAGAGGATCTATTTTGTGAACTTATGAAACCAGGGTTGTTTCGGACTAAAGTAGAGGATCGATTTTGTGAACTTATTAGGACCAGTGTTGTTTCGCATAAAATTTTTTTTTATAACCACACTCCCATGGACGGGTTGTATCAATAAACTAAGAGCATACAATATAATCTTACGATATATTTCAACAGGCATTTTATAAATTCATAGGGTCAGATGATTAATGTAAAAAAAAAGAGATACGGTCTTGAATTATTTTTTTCAATGAAAAGAAGTCAATCTCAACAAAATATGATAGGCGCTTAGAATAAAATTTAAGGTCAATCTGTCTTTAATATGTGCTTTGTTGATAAATATATCTGCAGATTGCACTATCCCCATCTGGTCATTACACTAAGCCCACTCGTCTACATAGTTTTTGTATACATAAAAGGACATGCAACAATGAAAAAGATAAAAATAATATCAATACTGGTGCAATTTGGATAACTGACACTTCAGATAATAACATTTGGAAAATCAATGTTCAACCAAACTATTTCAAACACACAACAACAAACCCATAAAAATGAAGATACTGAATTTAATACAAAAAGTATTTAACTTCCCTAAATACAAATATACCAACACTGAGAATTTTCATACAAAATATATAAAGCTATAATTGTACTTATGCAGCACGTTAATGGTTTAAAATAAATATGATCCCATATCTTTGGAACAGATAATGATTTTTTTCTGAAATTGGCCTACATTTTAACACAAACTTATAGAGCTGTAAAAAAATTTCAGGCTTGTACAAGTTTTAGAAAAGAAGTTATTTCAATTTAAATACGCAAAATTTACATTTGTGCCATCATTAAATTGTATCAATAATTTCAAACGTACTTGATCGGACATAGCCCTCAGGACAGAAGCATCCTTCAACACATGTCAATGAAGAACAAAGATCACTGGTTGCATTGGATGATTTCCCACAACTTTCAGGACAACTTGATCCACATGCTTGGTAAACACTTCCATATTCACATTGCATTGCTGTTGAGTTGAAAGCATTTATTTGTATTATTGTTAGTGTAAATTATATATGTATATCACTTTTCATTTTAGAAACTGAAGGCAACTAAAAGACAAAAAAGTCCAACTTAAAAAATGAGAAACAATTACTGGCCATTTTTTATTTGTAATTTATGCAATAATTAATATTATAACGAAAGAGAACTATAAATGGCGGTAGCTAAAGGAACATTCTCAGGCCACTTTCAGCTTTCCAAACGATATAACTGAAGCATCTTATTAATGTTAAAGTGATTAAAGAAAACAAAGATGGTAGATACAGAGGGGGCCAATAAATATAGGACAGTTAACCAAGCCATCAAAAGAGGTATGAGAAGGGCAAAGAAGAATTGGATTGAAGAGCAATGCTAGAAATTAAAAACTGCTCGAAGAAAAAGAATAGCAAAAAGGCATACCAGTTGGTGAAAGAACTAACGACTGCAAAGCAAGGGCGTAGTACTACCATACAACACAAATAGGGTAAATGTTTGACAGAGTAAAATGACATCCTAAAAAGATAAACTTAATACTGCTCAGAATAGTATAATGAAAATATAAAGATTGACCCAGAGATCCCTAATGTCCCCCCAGCAATGGACAATGAAAACCAACCAATTCTCCATGCAGAAATGGAAGCAGCAGTTAAAGCACACCAAATAGGAAAGGCCACAGTAGTGGACAATATCCCTGCCCAGTTGGTGAAACAAGGAGGAGAAGTAATGATGAGTGCCCTAATGAATATTTATAACAAAATATGGCTGACAGGGGAATGGCCCAAATCATGGACCCCATCGCTCATCATTACCCTCCATAAGAAAGGTAACCTACAGCTATGCTAAAACTATCGCACCATTAGCCTAATAAGCCACCCAAGCAAGGTGGCGCTAAAGGTCATACTGAACCGACTAAAACAAAATGCCGGGAAAATCATTGCAGATGAAAAGGCGGGCTTCAGACAAGGACGTGGCACTGCTGAGCAGATCCTAAACCTCCAAATACTATGTGAGAAATATGCTCAATACCACCAAAACCTATCCCACGTATTTGTGGATTTCAAGAAGGCATTTGACCTAGTTTGGCATGCTGCTTTAAGGGCCACTCTGAGGCACTACTACATCAACACAAACCTTAACAGAATGATATGCAGCCTCTATGATAAGGCTACCACTGCAGTCTTCTTCAAGAAAAACATTGGAGAATGGTTCAAGACCAGGATTGGAGTACGACAAGGCTACTTGCTCTCCCCCACCCTGTTCAACATCTTCTTGGAGAGAATTATGTCAGATGCACTGGAAGCGCATGTAGTGACTGTCAGCATTGGTGGCAGAACAATCATCAACATACATTTTGCGGATGACATAGATGGACTGGCTGGAAACGAAGAATAGCTAGCCAACCTAGTATAGCGTCTCGACAAGACTTCATCGTCCTTTGGCATGCAAATCAGTGCAGAAAAGACAAAAGTGATTACAAATAACATCACTGGCATCTCCATTGAAATTAAGGTGGAGGAGGAAAGATTAGAGACAGTAAGCAGCTTCAAGTAGTTAGGAGCAATAGCCTCAGAAGAAGGCTCCAATTTATGTCCAGGGCTGCCCTTGACTACAACAGCCCTAAAGAGGCTTAAGAAAATATGGAATGACAAAAATATATCCTCTAGCACTAAAATCAGGCTGATGCGCTCATTAGTCCTCTCCATTTCCTTGTATGCCTGACACTGTGAGTCCTGGACATTACAGAACTTGAAAGGCGAGGGAGATGAGATGTTTCAGAAGCATTCTTGGAATCTGCTATTGAGACCATATCTCTAACGAACATGTGAAAGAAAAGATTCGTCAAGCATGGGGAAATTTTGTTGACCTCCTAGTGACTGTAAATAAGGGAAACTTGGAATGGTATGGCCACGTGACAAGAAAACAAGGGCTCGCCAAAGAAATCAGGCAGGGAACAACGAGAGGAGGGAGAACAAGGGGAAGACTGAGAAAAAGATGGAAAGATAAAATCAAAAAGTGGACGGCTGTAAAACTAGTCGATGCTGTGCGTAGTGCAGAAAACAGAGAGGAATGGAGACGGATACTTTTCATGTCATCTGTGGCGCCCCAACTGTCCAAAGACTAAGTGACATGATGATGATCTTAATAATGAAACATTAAAAACGCTGCGTTTTAAACAAGTTCTAAATGTGTAATAGGGAAGGATAATTCTATTAATACACAGTTTTTAAAATAGCTTTTCTTACTTGCTTATAATTAGTTTTCACCTTTATTTTTAGAAATTCAAACTTCTATCATGTTCCATTATACCTTTAACACAAATTTAAAATAAACAAAAAATATTTACAACTTACGACAAAGTCTTTGGTGTCTCCATTTGGCTGGGGATCCCATTTCATTACAGTAGGCAGCATAGGCAGCTATGGCATCACAGAGGCACTCGCAGTCACCACCAGTATCACAACTTAAGTTAGACAGTTGAAATTTTTTTGATAACTTTGATAAGGACATCCAAAAAGTATGACAGGTAGGCAGAGAGAATAACTGACAGATGTATTGATTCATTAACATATCCAGCAAGCCAGATGATATTATTCCTAGTTAGTATCTTTCTTTAACATTTGTATTTCCATAGTGTTCATTTTTAAGCTTTGAATCCAGAGAGCTTCAGTTATCCTATCAGATGACTAGGGAAATCTAAAGTAATGCTTATCCATACAATTGGAGTGAGTGACATACTTGCATGCTTGCAACACACAGTTGTCATAGAAGCTGACCTCTCCACCATGTTTACGGCATGCAGCGAAAGCTTCTGATTCCAGAATAGGTGAGCATGCTTTACGAGCCCATGTCTGATGATTTGATCCCTGTTTATTGTTTATAAGGAAAAAAAGATGTTTTCAGATATTGAATATTGGCATTTCCTCTATAGTCTATCAAATATTGAATATTGGCATTTCATCTATTGTATAAAGCAATTTAATTTAAGGGAGTAAAATGTATTCAATAAATTGTGAATGAAATGAAAGACTATTTCATGGTTACTTCGCAGTTGGTGCTGACAACTTGGTCATCTTCCATTGTGCATTCTTCAGGATTGACAATCCAGCTCTTTGCCAGTTTGCTGGTGGTTTCCTTTGGTAGGCCATCACTACCCTCTCTGTCATCTGTGGCATCCAGGTTGAATTTTCCACAAAGACCAGAAGTATCATTGAATGCTTTGTTGGTTACTTCCACGCCACAAGTTAGACCTTGAATGAACAAAGAAGTAATGCATTACGAATGCAATAAAACAAAAAAATATTCTTCCAAGAGGCAATTAAAATTATCAACATAACCCCCTGCCCCACTTCCTCCTGGGAAAAAAAGAGCACAAAGAAAGAAAAAAAATTAAATGAAAATAAATAATAGTGTGGATTATGGTTTTTTTTTATATTAAAAAACAAAAGAGAAGAATACCTCCATTCCAACGAACAGAAAATCCTTGTCTTAAAAATATTAAAGTAAGCCAGTAGTTGGTGGTCATGAGCATTATGTTGGGACCCAAGTTATGGTTGTACTCTTTGTTTCCAACCATGACTGTGCCCGGGTTGGTTGATTTCAGGATGATATCGTCTTTTAGATCGGGTGTCTTTATGGTGATCATGTTCATACAGTATTTATCTGTACAATAAAGCCAACTTGATTTAGACAACTTTCAAGATAATTAAATCAAAACTCTTTGTTTATTTAACAATAAGTTTTGTCTCTTATGTGAACTCATTGAACTCTGGTAGCTTTACAGAAAATTGTTAACCAAATGATTATCACTTGTGGCTCATATTACACCACTAGTGTAAATAGATATCATGCAAGAGTATAATATAAAAAAGAGGATCATTCACTTATAATGCACTTGTAATAGAATGACACTCAATGAGCTATTTCAAGGTATTAAACAACAGTAAGACTTAATTTTCTCTTTTTAGCACGATTTGCAGGAAATGTAATAAAAAATATACCAAAAACTGTCCATGAGTTATGAAATAATATTTTTCTGAAACATTTCTGCACACTGTTAGCTACAATAACATTGAGCTACATTGACTTTATTGAGATATTTCTTAAACATAAGTTTATTTTGTATTTTAAATGTATCTGTTGTTTATTGCACTGTATTGTCTAACGAAGATGGATTCTAGCCAAAATGTCAGCTTATTTGTCTTTTATTTTATTTTCAAGACTAAAAATCTTGTTCCAATATTTAGCTAAGCTACTCAACTTCTGCTCAAACAAAATTATAACATATCATTTTTAGTGTTTTACAGCATAAAATTAACAAAATTTATTGCTTACTAGCTTATTCAGCATAGAATAATTAGCAGATGATTAAATATCTTACTTGAACTGCCACATTCCATAGCTTTGACTTGGATTGATGTATCAGATCCAATCTTGCATAAAAACATTTCACACCTGCCATTAATGGAGAAGTCACTGAGGGTTGTTGTGTCAAAGGGCTTAATTTTCATTGCTGACCCAGTAATGACGCAGGTGCCTGAATGATAGAAAAATATTTCAAGTGAAAATAAAGTAATCAAAATTCATATAGGCCAACCAACGTGATTGTCGTGTTAAAATCATTTTACATAAAAATAACAATATAAAACAGTATGGTTATCGATATTAAAATGCAGGCTATCTTAATAGATCTTGCATGAATTAATACATATTTTTAAGTTTTTTTTCCTTGATTCAGTTTGGACAAGGGGTCTTTTAAACATATACAAATCTGGAAGATAAGGTGGATTATTCCAATAGTACATTTTTTATGGGATACAAGAAATGACTTTTAAAATACCTGTGCAGTCGCTTGGACGTTCAGATTCAAAGACAAAAACACCATCTTGGCAAATCCTATTCAGAAAAAGTTCAAGTCATAATAAATAGTTTTATTTAAATTAAAGCTATAAGTAGAAAAATTATAAGCTTAAGATATTTTTATACAGAATTAAATGATTAACAAAAATTCAAGTTTAAAAAAAAATAAAAAATATTTCACTCTTACTTGGTTTGGCAGTTGTACTCCAATCTTTCCCCATGATTATAATATTTCTCTCCCTGGTAACAAGGACAATACTGAACACAACCTCCATTCTATAGGATTGAAAAGATAAGCAGGAGCCATTTTAAAGATAATACTTTGATTAAATAGCTTAAAAAAACACTTCCATATTTAATCAATTTCAGGCATAAGCAGTATGACTTCTAAAATAGTTTTTGTTTTGTTTTCTTTTTTACTTAATCATTGCACTCTGTTCATTTATATAGTATGAATCCTAAAATTTCAAAATAATCTTTCATGTCTAAGTAGAGACAAAATCAAACCTGAGTTTGTTTGAACCCCTCTGGACAAAAGCAAAGCTGTGAGCTTGTGGCTATATTCATACATTCAGAGTTAGCATAGAAAGGTTTGGGACATATCATCCTAGCACAAGATGGGTCAACAGATGTGGCCAGGAGTTTGCTCTTGGGGACTTGACTGTTGGCGCAGATAACCTCCTCACAATTATTGTCACAATTTAAAGTAGAGCCACTGCAGACACTGAAATTACAGATTAATTTTAGCAATGTGCTCATGCCATATTTGTTTCTCTTTAATTTAAAAAGTAACACTTTATTACTATTTGCTCCTTATTTTGGTGGATCACAATTATATGATGAACTTAAAATACTTTTCAAAATGACAAAGAACATAAGACTAAGAAAATACCATTCTCGGCATCCATGCATGAACACTGCATTTGGTGCTATCCATTTATTAGGATCTGTGAGATCTCTACAACCACACTGAACTTGTGGCACACATTTTCCGTCATCATTGAAGTATTCACCAGCTTCACAACCACAAATGTTTAGAGTTTCACTAACACATGATTTAGAATAAAGATGATCATTACAGTTGCTATCACATGTATCAACTGGTCGTCTTTTGCAAAGTATATCAACTGTTGATAAAACAAATTATACAAATAAAAAATTTAAAAAAAGGAACTGAAAAAGATACTCTAACCTATTGTAAGTCTGCATATTCAATTTTTATTATTTATAAGTGCTTTTTATTCTGATCCTGTTATTTATTCAACTTAAGGTAATATTTAATTTTTTTTTAAACCATTATTTTAAAATACATTTCATTTAATTTCTTAAAGGTTTCACACATACATTCTAGCTTATCACATAAATTATATTTAGGGAATTTAAAACATCAGCCTATCACTAGGGCTGCCAGATTTTTTTTAATACAAAAAAAAATAATAATTAATTTCAATTTAAAAATTCTTATTAATTTACATGCTATTGCAAAAAAAATTTAAAAAAAAAAAATAAGCTTACTTAAAAAATGAAACAGAATTGTAAATGAGTATCAGCATTTATAATTTAAACAAAAATCTAACTTACTACATAAACCAGCATTAGGAAAAGAAGTGGCAAAGTCAAGTCCAGATTCCATTGCTAGGGATTGCAAGAGATTGCAAAATGTAGGAAGATCGTCAGCACTGTTGCATTGTTTAATATAACTGTCCATGTTAGTTCTTGAGTTTGGTGGTAGCACAATCGAGGTTAAGTCATTACAGGCAGGATTCTTTATAGAAATAAAAAAAAATAGAAATCTCACTTGACGGACAACACCAACAAATTTATTTACACAATAGCATCAGCATACACTGCAATGAATGTTTGCTCGAATATTTGATAAGTAAATGAAACATATACTAAAATTCTTAATTTTAATAAAAACTAAATCTTTGTTTGAAGACATTACAATAATCACATAGAAAATAACTTTTAAATTGGCCTTTTAGAAAATATTGAAATCATTAGCAAATTGATGCAACAAATTTAAATCTTAATCCTTTTGATCATAAAAAGAAATAAAGCACATCACAACATAGCTTGGCTCTAAAAATCTTGAAAGGAGCTATAAACTGTGGATTAAAAACTCTAAATATTGCAGGCTGCCTGCAAACGAAAATTCGATCATGCTAAAATACTTCTGAGAGAGCTGCAATGGATGCCCGTTCGTGCTCGCATACAGTACAAAATTGCAACTTTGTGCTACTGCTGCTTACATGACCTGGCGCCGTCCTATCTTAAAGCACTCATGACGCCTTATGTACTCAAACGACAGCTCCACTCATCCGATAGTGGAAAAATATTGATACTGCGTGTTCGCCTTGAAACTGGCCAAGCAATGTGGAACGCTCTTCCTGTTTCTCTCAGAAACAGCCAAACACTGGAGTCCTTTAAAACCCATTTAAAAACTTATCTATTTCACAAAACCTTCTAGAGTGATTTTGCCTACCATCTTTTTCCAATTAATTTATTTGGCTTGAGCTGCTAATGGTTGAAATGGGCTGAAAGACTTTGACTGGCATGGTCCTATGTAGTTTTTATATTGTTGCATCTGTTTTTTTAAATGTGGTAAATTTTAAATTGTTTTTATATCTCTTTTTAATATGGTTGACTTTGTACCGCGCTTCGAGCTTTTGGGGATGAAGCGTGTTTTTCAAATAAACTTTATTATTATTATTAATTATATATTAAAAAAAAAAGATAGCAATCCTGAATTCTTCATTTATCTCTAGGTTTTCGATATAAAAAACTGATTAAGAAAGTTTGAAGTGTGTAAGTGGAAAGTAAAATAAAAATTTACCTGTGTTGTTGGGCTGAGCTCTGCTAGTTTGGAATCATGACAATCTAAAAACATTTTCAAAAACTGGTCACCATCCATTTCAGAGTTGGATGGTGACATGAAATCATTGTCTTTGTTATAGTCCAAAGTACCACAAGCACCTACAGTCTGTGCATGAAAAATATTTATTATATTAGCCAGGTTAATTGTTTCAAAATTACACCTATCAATATGTTGATCAGGATGTTGATAACACTGCGAATTTAAAAATAAAATAAAATCTAGATCTAACAGATATTGCGGTATAATAATAATGTTAAAAAAATGTTAAAATAGAAAAATCTCAAGACATAAAACACCTACCTTTCCTTTGAAAATGTTTGTTTTCAATCTCACAAGAACAGTGCCATCCTGACTGCATATTATTCGGACGATATCCTTCACATCAATGAGATGTACATGTGGACTGATTTGTCTGAAACCAAACAAAATTTAATCTTTAGTTCTTGACATAATTTAAATAGCAGGAGCACAATCTTTAGTTTTATGAGTGATAAATATATACTACCCTTTTCAGATTCATCTCCATATTTATGAATGATAGATACCAATACCATATGTAGGCCCTTTACACTTTTTGGCTGAATCTTTAGTTTTATGAGAGATAATTACCTTACATGCACTTGTGGGGTCAAAGCATTTTCAATTGTGCTTGAAGTCTTGGAAATTTCAAGACGAGATGTAACGCCCTGATATGTTAAAGTAATAGTACTGGGGTTGTATATTTCTCCATTATCACCAGTTGAACTTCCAGAAAAGGACACTTTGACAGTGAGTGTATCACTCTGAAAAAAATAAAAAAATTAATACCTTGAGTGTAAACCTTATGGGGAGGTGTGGGTGAAAAATCTAAATTTTTTGTTTAGCTCCATATAAGATTTTTTTTTACATACACCTTATTTGGTATTGTAATGGAGGTACAAAACAAC